TTTAATATATTCTTTCTTAATATAAACTAAATACGATTTATTGTTCATCTTGTTATGTATCTTATTTGTAAGCATATTTTGATATTTTGTTAGTCGTAACAATTTTTTTAATATATTTAATAAATAAAATTTCGTTTTATAAAACTCCATTTTTTGGCCTTCCTTTAGTTTCACTTCATCTTATGACCCCAATTTCTTTTGGTTGAATTTTCTGGGTTGAATTTGTGAAGCTTTCCTTTTTTTCTAAAAGCGTTGTTTGTATATAAATGCGTCGTATTGAACTACAATTTGTTTTTTGACGACTTCATAAAGGGTAGTTTATCATATAATAAGCTTTTGAACCTTTGAAATTTTAATTATTTTTAAGCTAATTATTTAATGCGAAAATTTGTTGATGTAGGCAAAAAACCGTTAATTCATGTCTATGGTTTAATAAATTTTCATTTTTTAGAATCTTAATAATGTGTAGTTTTTCATGTAGGCATAAAAGGGCATGGGTCATCCCAGGTATTATAAGTTATTGTTCTATTTATTATTTTCCATTTTACTTTTGGTGTTTTATTCGTTTCTTTTAAATGCCAAAAATATTTGGATAGCGGTGTCTGATTTCTATTTCTAATATTATTGAAGGAGCTCTTGTGTTGTCTCCATCTAATTTTAAATTCACTTTTCGTGGAACCTATATATATTATTTCATTGTAAGGACTCTCACTGGATGAAATAGTGCATTGGTATACCATTTTATTTTTTTTATGCGTCATTTATTTTCCAACGGGCAAGTCTTCAGGGTTTCTACAATCACATAATTTTTCATTATTTTTGTTTAATTTTAGTTTAGGGATTTTATTAATACTATTTTGCATGCGTGTTTTTTCCAGGATTATTATTATGTTTTTTATGATTGTTTCTAGATTTTCAGTGCAACTGTAGCTTAATTTTAATGTGTTTTTATTAAAGATCTTACTAAGTTTGCAATCAGTAGGAAAGTGTTTTTCAATTAAAGCTAGGAATTTTTGTCCTAGCTTAATACTAACCATTTGGTTGAACGGAGGGGTATACCAAATGATTTTTCTTTTCCTGTTTTTCTTCTGGTTAGTACTATTGTTTCTTTGTATCCGCTATTTTTTAGAGCTGTGCTATAAAAATTACTGTGTTGTTGGAAGATTTATTCATTAGTGGAGTTCATGCTGATTCTTTTCTCTATTGATGAGGGTATATGCTTAATTGTTGATGGAGGGTGGTTTGACCTAGGGTGTACATACAAGGGGTTAGCTTTAGGTTTTCTGTAGGTATATGTTGCTCATTAAGTCTAAAGTTACGTCGAGGAAGTTTACATTTTTCAATTTAGTATTGACGGTAATTTTTAAATTTAGTTTTCTGAATTCACAATATATTATCTTTCTAATTTTATCTATTTTAAAATTTGTGGAACTCCTCACTAACATCAGCCCGTCATCCCTGTATAGCCCGATGTCCTTAATGTCTAATACACGGAGCGAGGTAAGGTTGTATAGTATAAATAGACCGACAAGGTCAGAAGACTCTGCAGAATCTAAAGATCCCATGGTGATGTCAAAATTGTCATCAGTATTTTTAATCTATTGGCCCCCATTATGAATGTGGCCAGACTTTTTTTGTACTGACTAGACGATATGCGTCTACTGAATGTCATCATTCGCTTTAAAATAAACACCTCGACCCTATCTTGACTCGACCTCTTTCCAAAAGTAACTAATATGTTCATACAGAAAACTTCAATATAATTATTTGAATTAAATTGAAGTAACGTACTAAGCTCTGTTCCATCTTCAAGCGAAATTATGCTCTACTTTTGTATCGAGCGCTATTTTTTAAGAATAATAACAAAAATACTAAAGAACTTTGGATTATTTACCTAACGAGTTCTTCCCTATTTTCTATATATTTTTTACACACACACACACACACATATATATATATATATATATATATATATATATATATATATATATATATATATATATATATATATACGGTGTAACAGCAAAATTGTCCATTTGTTAAATTAAGAATTAAATTGTTATATCTTAGATATGATTAATTATATCTTATTAGAATTCCCCAAGGTTTTTTTTTATAAAAAAAAAATGTGATTATAAGCAAGAAGAAAGAATAATTACTTTTCAAGCTTAAGAGAAGAATCATAGTGAAATTGATCATAAACGAAAATGACATGTTCATATTTAATTAATTATAGATAAGGATTATGAAGGATTGAAATAAAGTTATATATATATATATATATATATATATATATATTAATCTAGGCTGATTTTCCAACTTATCTTCTCCCTCACTAACCTTCCCACGTGGTTAGATCAGATGACGGCGCAATATTGAATGGCTACCACGTTCGTTAGATGACTAAACATACCTACATGGTTGGATCAGATGACGGTGTAGCATTGAATGGAGACCACGTTCTCTTGATGACCAAACCTTCCCACGCGGTTGGATCGGATGGCGGAGCAGCACTGAATAGTCATCACGTTCTTTAGATGACCAAAACATCCCACGGGGCAGGATCAAATGACGGATAAGTATCGAATAGTCACCACGTTCTCAGGATGACAAAAATTTCCGATATGGTTGGAACAGACGACGAAGCAGGATCTAATGGCCACCACATTATCTCGATGACCAAACATACACACGTGGTTAGATCAAATGACGGAGCAGCATAGAATGGGAACCACGTTCGCTCGATGACCAGGACTTCCCATGCGACTGGATCAGATGACAGGGCAGCATCGAATGGGCACCACGTTCTCTCGATGACCAAAACTTCCCACGCCGTTGGATCGGATGACGGAGCAGCATCGAATGGGCACCACGTTCTCTCGAGGACCAAACCTTCCCACGCGGTTGGATCGGATGACGGAGCAGCATCGGATGGCCACCACGTTCTCTCGATGACCAAATATTTCCACGCGGTTGGATCGAATGGCGGAGCAGCATCGGATGGGCACCACGTTCTCTCGATGACCAAACCTTCCCACGCGGTTGGATTGGCTGACGGAGCAGCAACGGATGGCCACAACGTTCTCTCGATGACCCAACCTTCCCACGCGGATGGATCGGATGACGGAGCAGCATCGGATGGCCACCACGTTCTCTCGATGACCAAACCTTTCCACGTGGTTGGATCGGATGACGGAGCAGCATCGGATGGCCACCACGTTCTCTCGATGACCAAACCTTCCCACGCGGTTGGATCGGACGACGGAGCAGCATCGGATGGCCACCACGTTCTCTCGATGACCAAACCTTCCCACGCGGTTGGATCGGATGACGGCGCTGCATCGGATGGCCACCACGTTCTCTCGATGACCAAATATTTCCACGCGGTTGGATCGGATGGCGGAGCAGCATCGGATGGGCACCACGTTCTCTCGATGACCAAACCTTCCCACGCGGTTGGATTGGCTGACGGAGCAGCATCGGATGGCCACAACGTTCTCTCGATGACCAAACTTTCCCAGGCGGTCGGATTGGATGACGGAGCAGCATCGGATGGCCACCACGTTCTCTCGATGGCCAAACCTTTCCACGCGGTTGGATCGGACGACGGAGCAGCATCGGATGGCCACCACGTTCTCTCGATGACCAAATCTTCCCAGGCGGTCGGATTGGATGACGGAGCAGCATCGGATGGCCACCACGTTCTCTCGATGACCAAAAATTTCCACGCGGTTGGATCGGATGGGGGAGCAGCATCGGATGGCCACCACGTTCTCTCGATGACCAAACCTTCCCACGCGGTTGGATCGAATGGCGGAGTAGCATCGAATGGTCACCACGTTCTCTCGATGACCAAACCTTTCCACGCGGTTGGATCCGACGACGGGTAGCATCGAATGGTCACCACGTTCTCTCGATGACCAAACCTTTCCACGCGGTTGGATTGCATGACGGAGCAGCATCGGATGGCCACCACGTTCTCTCGATGACCAAACCTTCCCACGCGGTTGGATCGGACGACGGAGCAGCATCGGATGGCCACCACGTTCTCTCGATGACCAAACCTTCCCACGCGGTTGGATCGGATGGCGGAGCAGCATCGGATGGCCACCACGTTCTCTCGATGAGCACCTTCCCACGGGATTGGATCTGATGACGGTGCTGCATCAAATGGGCACCTCGAGATCTTGATGACCAAACCTTCCCAAGTGGTTGGATCAGATGACCACTCAGCAGCGAACGGCTACCACATTCTCACGATGACCAAAACTTCCCACGTGTTTGGATCACATGACGGGGCAGCATTGAATGGCTTTTGGCCCCTAACAAGATTAAACCGTGTTAAACACATTTAATTTTCATAAATATATGTAAATGTAAAAGTAAAATAGAAAAAAAAAATTAAGTGAATACCTACTTTTGCCCAACTCTGTATCTATACATAAGCTGATGACAACTGCGATAAAAGATCAAACTTTCAGACGCAATGTATCAAACGGCGGAAACTGAGGAAGGCCCTCGCCAAAAATCCAGTTTTCGTAAATATCTACTAAATCATCTGCTGAATTATTTGTTTAATTATTATTAAGACAAATTTTCGTAAGACGGGGATTTGGCTACTTATATTAAATAAAATAAAATAAAATAAATTGTTTTTGTTGAAGGGTATTTTGCTAATTGGGCACAATGTTTTTTTATGCTTACCTGGAATCAAAGTCCATCTTTCTTTTTCTCTTTGATACGAACAAACAATTTCCTTTGATTCAGACACTTGCTTGATGTCAAAAAAAAAAGTTTATTCGGGTTAGAAAATTCGGCAAACCCACAAATTCAAATTCCTGAGGAAATGCTAAAAAAAAAATGTTTATTTAAAATAAAATGGAGCGGCAATTTTTATATTTTTAGTTTTTAAGTGCGATGTTAAACCAATCTGGGTGAATGTGGATGGAGATTTGGGTGTATTTTCTGTGTGAGTGTATGTATTTCATAAAGGCTTAGTTATGGAGGTAATTTTAAACACCTGGATCAAGATAACTTGGTTATCTTTCTTCTTCTTCTTCTTCTTCTTCTTCTTCTTGTTCTTCTTCTTCTTCTTCTTCTTCTTCTTCTTCTTCTTCTTCTTCTTCTTCTTCGGGAGTAGATTAAAAGTGCAAGAAGAAAGAAAGAAGGAAAGAATGAAAGGGAAAGTTGAGAAAGAAAAAGAAAATGAGAATTAAGAAAAAAGAATGAGAGAGAGAGAGAGAGAGTGAAAGAAAGAAACAGAGTGGGATTGGAGAAAGAGAGAGAGAAGGAAATGAGAGTTAAGAAACAAAGAAAGAATTGAGAAAGAGAGTGAGAAATAAGAAATAAGCAATAAAAAACTGAGAGAACTAAAGAAAGAAAGAAAGAAAGAAAGAAAGAAAGAATGAAAGAAAAAAGAAAGCAAGAAGGACAATGAAAAAAAGAACGAAAATGAAAATTCAGAAGAAAAAAGAAAATGGACATTAAAAAAGAAAGAAAGAAAGTGACAATTGAAAAAGAGAGAGAAACGAAATGTGAATTAAGAAAGAAGGAAAGAAAGAAAGTGAAAATTGAGAAAGAAAAAATAAGGATTAAGAAAGAAAGAATGAAAGAAAGAAAGAATGAAAGGAAGAAAGAAAAAAGAAAGAAAGAAAGTGGGTGAATTAAGAACGAGAGAGAAAGGAAATGGGAATTAAGAAAGAAAGAAAGAAAGAAAGTGAAAATTAACAAAAAAGAATGAGAAAACTAAATGAGAATTAAGAAAGAAAGAATGAGAGAGAGAGAAAAGAAAAGAAAAGAAAGGAACAAAGTGAGAATTGCTAAAGAGAGAGAAATAAAATGAGAATTAATAAAGAATGAAAGAACGAAAGAAAAAACGAAAGAAAGAGAATACTGAGAAATAGAATGAAAATGAGAATTAAAAAAGAAAGAAAGATAGAGAATAAGAAATAATCAGTAAAAGAAACTGATAGAAACAAAGAAAAAGACAGAAAGAAATGAAAAAATGAGAAATAAAACCGATAAAACAAAAATGAAAGAGAGAAAGGAAATAATCAATAAATGAAAGATAAAAGAAACTGAAAAAAAAGAAAAAGAAAGAGAATGAAAAAAGAAACTGAAAATGAGAGACAAAAAAGAAAAAGAAAGAGAATGAGAAATAATTAGTAAAAGAAACCGATAGAAACAAAAAAAAAAAGAGAATGAAAAGGAAAAAAGAAAATAATCAATAAAAAAGAAACTGATAGAAAGTGAGAAAAAAAAAAAAGAAAAGAAAAAGAAACTGAAATGAGAAATAATTAGTAAAAGAAACTGATAGAATGAAAGAGAAAAAGAAAGAGAAAAAAGAGAATGATAGAAATAATTAGAAAAGAAAAAGATAGAATGATTAGTAAAAAGAAAAAGAAAGAAAAAATGAGAAACAGAAAAAAAAAAGAGATGAGAAACAAAAAAAGAAACCGATAGAAACAAAAAAGAAAGAGAGAAAGGGAATGAGAAATAATCAATAAATGAAACTGATAGAATGAAAGAGAGAAAGAAAGAGAATGAGAATGAGAAATAATCAGTCAAAGAAACTGATAGAAAGAAAGAAAGTAAGAAAGAGAGAAAGAAAGGAAGAAAAGAAAGAGAATGAGAAATAATCAGTAAAAGAAACTGATAGAAAGAAAGAAAGAAAAAAGGTAAATAAAGAAAGAAAGATCTGTAATTAATGCCCCCCTACTCTTCTACAGTTTCATGCACTGCTTTTTTTAGTCTTTGAGTAAAATAAATAAAATTCCTCTATTTCATTTTATTTTCAAATAATTTGCTTACTTTAGAAGTAAGTACTTCCAAAAAGCCATGTAAAGTCTGCCGAAGCACGCACACTCTCTTCTCTTTCTTTCACCTCACCTTTCTCTCATTCTGCGTGCGTCCGTGCACGCGCGCCATCCTAATACTAAGTTACTAACAATACTAATGATACTAATAATCTCTATACAGCTTCAATAGATCATTTTTCTTTCATATTTACTTCTTTTTTTTCTTTTTTTGTTTACTTTCTTATAAACAGTTTACTTCTTATCCGACGTGTATAGTTCAATTCTTTCGGGACGTCTGGAATATTTCAACCATCCTCTCTTTTATAGTTGGTTCGCTCTACCTCCCACTTTCTTCCCCCTCCTTTTCCCCTTCCTTCTCCCCTCCTTTCTCCTTTCCTCCCCCTTCTTCCCTCTCTATCTCTTTCTCTCTCTGTCTATCTATCTATCTATCTATCTTAACGTCACGTCGGTTTTCCACTTGGTAAATGTTTTCCTTCCTACTAAGCGCGCTCTCCATTGGCGAGAGTGAGCGTGCGTGTGTACATTACTCTCTCTAGCTCACATAATAGCTACGCCCTCCTTCTAATTTACCTTGTGTACGTATGGGGGAGGGAGAATTGTCCCTCCCCTCTTTATTATTTGATGTTCGCTTTGCTTCTCTCTTCTTAAAAAAAAAGAAAGAAAGAAAAGAAATTCAGACTAAGTAGGCTTTCCTAACTCCTTATCTCAGCCAATCTTTATATATATATATTTTTATTTTTTTTTTGAATGAGCGTATATCATTATTCCCTCTCTTTCTTTTCGCGTCTTAATGAGTGTGGGAGTGTTTAATTCTCTCTTACTAGTTCAGTTTTACTTTCTTTTTTTTCACACACTTGTCAATAAAGTTTTTCTGGTTGTGCTTTATATACATATATATATCTATGTCTTTGTCTCGCCTTCCCCCACCTACTAGTCTCAGTTCTCTCCCTCTCCCTTTCTTTCTCTATTACTTTTTGATTCTTCGCAAACAGTTCCTCTTTACCGACGCGTAAACTTACCGTAAAGGACTTACGCATTTTCTAATCACTCGCTTGACGCTTTCCTTAACCGCCGACTGGCTGCGGGCCTCTGTTTCTTTACTAAAGAGCTCAATATCCCTTTTCAACAGCAAACCCACATACAATTTTTGGGCTTTTTTTTTTTGCAACGGCTTAACAAAATTTACAAAAAAGGGAAGTAAATTCTTATTATATTTTAACAGAAATTCATAAAACAAAATTTCTATAAAAAAGAAAAAAGAAAGAAAAGAAAATCACTTGCTAAAAACGACAAGCAACAAAAAGGAATATATTCAAATAATATCTGGAACTTAAATCACCGAGAAAAAGATTCTTTTCTTCGCAAAGCAAAAATATCTTGCTTAAAAGAAGGATTTCCCGACAGTGATCAGTCATCTTTCGGATCAACGTTCGAAGCCATATAATTTTTTTTTAAAAAGTTGTCAAGATGTCGGCAAGAACAGGTCGGGTTGACGCCGAGTCGGTCGATGCAGAAGACATCGTCGAAGACTTTTTCTCGGGCATTATGTTAACAGGAATCATTTCAGTACTTCTTCTTGGACTGTTTTTGCTTCGAAAATACATCCAATGGGGAATCGATTGTCCCAGCGACAACCGGATCGATGGCAAAACTGTCATAATTACAGGTAAGTAAAACAATTATAAGCAAGGCCTGAGGACGAATTAATTTAAAAGTCAATTCCTATATCTTTTTAATTATTTCTTCAACCGCTTCTTTTAAATTGGGAATAAGTTAATCCTTTTAAATTCTCGTTGTTTTTTTTTTCTTTTTCTGTATTCATTATTTAACTAAATCCCTCGATATTTGAAGAAATCATGTTTTGCATTCTTGTTTTTCTTTAAATCCCTTTCTATGTTATGATTCTGACATAAATTATTCTTTCAAAACTTTCTGGTTTTGTTTCAATTCGTCCAATTTATTTTTCCTGTTTTTTTCACTTTATCGCAATAAAATGATTTCCATTTAAAAAACAAAAAAAAAAACTATTTTGCTAGATATTTAATAAACTTTTCGTAACCTGAGAGAAGAGCGCCCTGTGCGGCTCAAACTCACTCATCGAGTATATTTGACGCACGAAACATCGCTCTACGGCGCGCAGAATTTGACAAATTGATCTCGCAAACCATTTTCTTGATTTAGTGAGTTTGATCCTCACTTGGTCTTCAAATCTGATGGCCTTGTGTAAATACAGCGAATCAAGTGCCAAAAAACTTGTTTAATTGCTTAAGTTTTTTTTTCTTTAATTTTATTCTCATTTTCTTTCTTACTTTCTTATATTGTTCATTTTCATTAAAAAACATTTTTTTTCTATTTTATGTTTCACCTTTTTTCTTTGCTTCCTTGATTTCTCATTTCCTTTCTTGCTTCCTTTCTTAATTCTAATTTTCGTTCCGTATTTTGTTTTTGGATTTCTTTCGTCTTATCTTCCTGGTTTGCTTCCTTGATTTTTAATTCTACCATTTTTTTTTTTTCGCTTGTTTATTTTTGTTCAGTTTCGTTCTTTCTTTCTTTCTTCACTTAATTCTTATTCCCTTTTTTTTCTTATTCCCTTTCTTTCTTTCTTTCTTTCTTTCTTGTTCACTTACTTAATTCTTTCTTTCTTTCTTTCTTGTTCACACGCTTAATTCTTTCTTTCTTGGCCGCTTGCTTAATTCTTTCTTTCTCTCTTTCTTTCTTATTCACTTGCTTAATTCTTTTTTCTTTCTTTTTCATTTGCTTAATTCTTTCTTGTTCACTTGTTTAATTCTTTCTTTCTTTCTTTCTTTCTTGTTCACTTGCTTAATTCTTTCTTTCTTTCTTTCTTGTTCACTTGCTTAATTCTTTCTTTCTTGTTCACCTGCTTAATTCTTACTTTCTTTCTTTCTTGTTCACTTGCTTAATTCTTTCTTTCTTTCTTTCTTTCTTTCTTTCTTGTTCACTTGCTTAATTCTTTCTTTCTTTCTTTCTTGTTCACCTGCTTAATTCTTTCTTTCCTTCTTTCTTGTTCACTTGCTTAATTCTTTCTTTCTTTCTTTCTTTCTTTCTTTCTTGTTCACTTGCTTAATTCTTTCTTTCTTTCTTTCTTGTTCACCTTTAATTCTTTCTTTCCTTCTTTCTTGTTCACTTGCTTAATTCTTTCTTTCTTTCTTTCTTGTTCACCTGCTTAATTCTTTCTTTCTTTCTTTCTTGTTCACTTGCTTAATTCTTTCTTTCTTTCTTTCTTGTTCACCTGCTTAATTCTTTTCTTTCTTTCTTTCTTTCTTGTTCACTTGCTTAATTCTTTCTTTCTTTCTTTCTTTCTTTCTTGTTCACTTGCTTAATTCTTTCTTTCTTTCTTTTCTTTCTTGTTCACTTGCTTAATTCTTTTCTTTCTTTCTTTCTTTCTTGTTCACTTGCTTAATTCTTTCTTTCTTTCTTTCTTGTTCACCTGCTTAATTCTTTCTTTCCTTCTTTCTTGTTCACTTGCTTAATTCTTTCTTTCTTTCTTTCTTTCTTGTTCACTTGCTTAATTCTTTCTTTCTTTCTTTCTTGTTCACCTGCTTAATTCTTTCTTTCTTTCTTTCTTGTTCACTTGCTTAATTCTTTCTTTCTTTCTTTCTTTCTTGTTCACTTGCTTAATTCTTTCTTTCTCTCTTTCTTTCTTGTTCACTTGCTTAATTCTTTCTTTCTTTTTTGTTTACTTGCTTAATTTTCTTTTCTTTCTTCTTCACTTGCTTAATTTTGTCTTGTTTACTTGCTTAATTCTTTTTTCTTTCTTTCTTTCTTTGTCGCTTGCTTAATTTTTTTTCTTTCTCTTTCACTTGTTTAATCATTTCTTTCTTTCTTTTTCACTTGTTTAATTATTTCTTTCTTTCTTTTTCACTTGTTTAATTCTTTCTTTCTTTCTTTCTTTGTCGCTTGCTTAATTCTTTCTTTTTTAATTTATTTCTTGGTCGCTTGCTTAATTATTTCTTTCTTTCTTTCTTTCTTTCTTGTTCGCTTGCTTAATTATTTCTTTCTTTCTTGTTCGCTTGCTTAATTATTTCTTTCTTCTTTCTTTCTTTCTTGTTCGCTTGCTTAATTCTTTCTTTCGTGTTCGCTTGCTTAATTCTTATTTTCTTTCTTTTTTGTTTACTTAATTCTTTTTATCTGGTTTCTTCCTTGTTCATTTGCTTAATTTTTATTCTAATTCTTTCTTTTCAGTTCACTGGATTAATTCTCATTCTCTTTTTAATTGTCGTTACTTATTTTTTCTTTTCTTTCCTGTTCACTTCCTTAATTCTTATTTTTTCTTTGTTTCTATCTTTCTTTTTCATTCACTTGATTATTTCTTATTCTTTGTTTCTTAGTTGCCTTAATTCTTATTCTCTTTATTTCTTTCTTACTCATTTACTTAATTCTTATTCTTTCTTTTTTTTCTTTCTTCTTCACTCGCCTAATTCTTATTTTCTTTCATTTTCTTTCTTTCTATCGCGTACACGTGCTTAATTCTTATTCTCTTATTTTTTCTTGTTTACTTTCTTAATTCTTTCTTTCTTTCTTTCGTATTTACTTGCTTAATCTTTATTCTTTTTCTCCCTTTTGTTAATTGTCTTTCTTTTTCTCCCTTTTGTTAATTGTCTTTCTTTTTCTCCCTTTTTTTAATTGTCTTTCATTTTCTCCCTTTCTTAATTGTCTTTCTTTTTCTTTCTTTCTTTCTTAATTGTCTTTCTTTTTCTTTCTTATCTTTCTTTTTCTTTCTTGTCTTTTTTCTTTCTTTCTTGTCTTCTTTTTTTCTTTCTTTCTTAATTGTCTTTCTTTTTCTTTCTTCTTTCTTTCTTGTCTTTCTTCTTTCTTTCTTGTCTTTATTCTTTCTTTCTTTCTTTCTTTCTTTCTTTCTTTCTTTCTTTCTTTCTTAATTGTTTTTCATTTTTGTCTTCCTTTTCTTTTAATTTCTTTCTTGCTTAATTACCGTTCTCTTTCTTCTTCCTCATCTACTAAACAATTCATTTTCTACTTTTTAAATATCTCAAGATCTCGTTTCCTCATATTTCCAAAATATTACTAAACCATTTTTTTTATTTGGCATCATTTCTGCTTAAGCATTAACATAGTAACCGCGAATAATGGCAACTTCCATCTTTGCAATTCAATGCCTCAACTGCGAATGACGGGTTTTTTCCCCCCGCAGTGAATTGCTTAATAGATGTTAATTTTATTGCAAACTCCGGCGCTATTACACTTTCGCACCTCTCGTTGCTTCCTGTCATGCAGCAATGGCTTGCCCCCCAGGGACGACAGTCTGGAAACTATTCTGTTTGTTATTGTTAATTATAATATTTAAATTTAAATTAAAATTTAAATCTCGAGAAACAAAATCAATGTCTGTAAAACCCTAACCCTAATCTACGGGGTGGGGGGGGGACGAAGTGTAATAACGCCTAAACTCCTTCTCCTTTCAAACATCTTGTGCGTTATTTCTCTTTCATAAATGTGGATAGAGCTCTTTAGCAATGGCTGGCACCGAAAACTTTGCTAGAGATTAAATATCCAGGAGATTAAATATTTTTTTACACTAAATTTGTTTAAGAAAAATATTTATTCAATCGCTTTCTGTATTTCTGTGTTTCAATTGCACTTTTGTAAATTCTTAGAATTCAAAATGGCTTGTCATTGACACAACGCCATTGACGATTGAACTCATCACACAATAGTAATATTTATTTAGCTTAGCTTATTTTGATCACGGAGCCACAAGTACGGGGCACGTAGTGAGGATCGAACTCACTATTCTGTTGTAACAGTCAACTAGACTAGCTCGTTAACCATTACACCACACCGCGGTGCACAACTTGTTATCTACTTAGGTTAGCTTCATTTTGCACAAGGACACGGGTAAGGAGAACCTAGTGTATATCTAACTCGATATTCGGTAGTAATGGTCAACTAGACTCGCTTGTTAACCATTACATCACGCCGAAGTGCGCTAATTGTTATCAGCTTTATACTGCACAAGTACGGGGCACCTGGTGAG